ATGATCCAAGCGGAGACTGAGAGGAGATGTTTGGTGTTTGCTTCTTGTAACAAATACCATGACTTGAATGAGTGCCCAAGAGGGACTAACATGACTCATGTAGTTTTCTTGTAGGTTCTCATAGAACTTAATAGGTTCTTGATTTTCTAAATCCATTGCTCGAGAGAGAATGAGTTGTAAATTGAGAATACTTTTGGTTGAGCCCAAGAGGGGATATCGAATGAATTAGGAGAAACCAACTGTCAACATGGATAGTAATTAGGGTTAATTGGCTATAAGAATTAAGTGGAATTGGTTATGGTGAAATCAGATGCTTTAGTGTCTCATCATCTTGATTTTCCATCGTTAATTAAATTGTTATTTTTCATAATTATTTTTGTTTACTAAAATCAATCAGTCTTCTTAATCAACTATTCAAATAAACTTTTGAATTAATCATAATTGGTAATTAATAGGAAATTATAGTTTTCGTGGGAACAACACTCTACTTACTTCTATATTACTTGTGCAGATTGTGCGCTTGCAATAATTTCACAACAAGTTTTTGGCGCCGCTGCCAGGAACTATTTTATTTTCTATTAATATCAATATATTTTAATTTTGAGTTTAATTTGAATTTCTTCCTTTTGTTTCAAGTACTTTGATCCGTGTATGCACCGTTCTCGTACCCTAGAACACATACCACTTGACCCAGAAATCGAACGTACGTTTCATAAGCGGAACAAAGGAAACAAAAAGCACACTTTGGTGGAACCACCACCCACACCTATGGTGGACGAAGCAGAAAGAGTAGTGAGGGAATTTGCCCCCCCCCCCAATGGCAACTCCCTAAGCGATCTGACGTCCTGCTATTGCAGCCAACAATTTTGAGATCAAACTAGCCATGATCACCATGCTGCAGAATTCATTCGTATTTTGTGGTCTGCCGAATGAAGACCCAAATATACATCTTGTGATATTTTTGGAGATTTGTGACACGTCCAAGTTCAATGGGGTAACTGATGATGCGATTCGTTTAAGGCTATTCCCCTTCTCCTTGAAGGATAAAGCCAAGCTTTGGTTACTGTCATAGCCACAAGACTCCATCTGTACTTGGGATGATTTATCAAAGAAATTCCTTGCTAAATTTTTCCCACCAACCAAAACTGCAAAATTACGACAAGATATTATGTCATTCGCTCAGTATGATAAGGAGCCTTTATATGAAGCTTGGGAACGATTCAAATATTTATTGAGCAACTATCCTCACCATGAGCTACCAACCTGGATTCAAGTTCAAACTTTCTACAATAGGTTGAGTCAAACAAGTGGGACACTAGTTGATGTATCTGCTGGAGGGGCTTTAATGGCAGAGCATTTGAATTATTGGAGACCATGGCATCCAACAACTACCAATGGCCGAGTGAGAGAATGAATCCGAAGCCAGCTGGAAGTCGATGCTATGGCTTTGCTAACAACACAAATTTCTAACCTTACTAAAAAAGTTGATTCCTTAAATGTTAATGCTATAAACACTAATACTAATTTTGGTTGGGAATTTTGTGCAGGCCCTCATCCAAGTTCAGAGTGCACCACATGGAACCCATTCGCGTCCGCTAAGCAAGTCAATCAGGTTGGAGAATTTAATCGACAAAGGAATAATCCTTATTCCAATACATACAACCTCGTTTGGCGAAACCATCCAAATTTTTCATGGAGCAATACTTAGAATGTGTAGAGACCACCACCTGGCTTTCTGGCTCAAGAGAAGAAAATAAATTTGGAAGATATAAATTTGGAAGAGACTTGAACAGAAATGAGAAAACATAATGAATGCAATAAGAGTAGAAAAACCCCTTTTCTGAAGTTCTTGTGGTGTCCAAGGCTTCTCCAAGTGCTTCTCCACTTCTAATGCTTCTCCAAGAGCTTCCCCACTTCTAGAAAGATGTATGAAGGATATGGAGGTGATTTGGGATGAGTTTGAGTGAGTGGTGATGGCTAAGAAATATGAAATTCGTAGGGAAATGGAAGAGAGGTTTGCTGGAGTTGTTTTGGTGATTTGAGGCTGTTTAGAGCTTTTGGTTGATTGCTGGAGTGTTTGGGATTGTGAGAGTGTTTGAGGATAATTTCTGAATGTGTTTGGGAAAATGATGGAAGTGTTTGAGGATGGATGGAGAGGGTTTTGTGGGGTTGTGAATCCCAGGCTTGCACACCTTGAATCTGGAATTGAAGAGGTATTTATAGGGAGAGGGGAGTGATAAATCTGAATTCAATATGGCTAATGCATACAACACTTGTATTATAAAATCTGAATTGGTTGCTGCACTTCACCAATAAATCCCACTAGCAGCCATAGCTCATCTTCATGTCAGCATGACCAAGCTTCCATCCAGAAACCAATAGCTCATCCTCATGTCAGCATGACTAAGCAAGCAATGAGCTCATCTGCAAGTCAGCATGATGTGTCTTTTGATGGGCTCACGGATTGGGCTTGGATTAATCAATTGATGAGCTTGAGCTGTCCATCTTCAAGTTCAGAATGTCTTCTTTCCAAGCACACGTGAATTGGCCCAATCCAAGCACATATGAAAAAGATATGTCCGAAATGAATTTGTAACTCAGTTTTCAGTTTTTACACATTGTTTTCACCATTTTACTTCAAAAGCCTCAAGTGATACTTAGAGCTCAATGAACTGAATGACAAACACAAAAGAGGTTAAAAGCACAAGGTTAACTCAAAAGCATAACGAAATCATAAGCTAGAAGGGTACAAAATGATATACAATTGTGAACCGAACAAATACCCCCAAACCTAGATTTTGCTAGTCCTCGAGCAAAACAAAACAAAACAAAAATAAGAAGTTAAGTAGACCACTTCCGCAGGTAACTCGATTGCATTGAGCATATGCAACAAGCCTTTAAACCTCTAGGCATCCCTAGTAGGAGGAGTTGTGTCTCCTAAGGGTTTAACAGAAACGATACCCATAAACGCTTTACTGACTCTACAAAACAAAGTGGTTAGAAAAACAAACTTTGAAATCAACTAATGAAAATGAAAGAAAACTTTAGTCATACCTACAACACCATAGAGTTGCCAAGATAGGTGATCAATCAGTGTGTACAAGTGGAAGCTATAGCTCAAAGGCACACGGCTTCAAAGCAAGCACACTCAAACCTTGAATAGAGAACATGATTCGACTCTAATTCTCACATAAAACACTCAATCACTCAGAACCTATGGTTTAATTCTCTCAAGAAAGCATAAGTGAGTGTATGAAATAGAAGCACAAATTTGGTTAGATCTCATGAAAGGAATCAAATACTAAGAAAATAGATACACATATACATACCAGCACCCATGAATACATCCTCAAAGATCAGCTAGGTCTTTCACAAGGTTGTAATGAAAGGCTAAGGTTTAGGGGAAATGGAAGAATTGGAAGGAAAAACAAGTAACTTAAGAACATACCAAGGTTGCAGCTTCATTAATCTGCAAGGCATCAAAAACATAACGAAATCATAAGCTAGAAGGGTACAAAATGATATACAATTGTGAACCGAACAGAAGATGCGCTTACTCAGTTGACTATGTTTATCACCTAATTTATGACTGAAACAAAAACCCAATTTCAGAATCAGCATGCTTCTATTTCGAATTTGGAGGTGCAAGTTGGCCAATTAGCTAATGTCATAAGTGGAAGAAACCAAGGAGTATTGCCAAGTCAACCTAAAGTTAACCCGAAAAATCAAGACCAAGCAAAGGCAATCACTCTTCGTAAAGGGAAGCAAGTGAATACAGCGATCGACTTGGAAAAAGAAGCATTAGAGAAAGAAAAAGAAGCCAAGAAGTCTACGGCGGAAGTGGGGCATGCATTTTCACCGCCAATCACCACCACAGAAAAATCCCAAGAAGAAGAAAATTCTATACCAATTCCTTCTCCTCCATTGAAGCCATATGTCCCACAAATCCCTTTTCCACAGAGGTTGAGGAAAAATAAAATTGATGGGCAATTCTCAAAATTCTTGGAGATGTTCAGAATGTTGCAGATCAACATTCCTTTTGCCGAAGCTTTGGAACAAATGCCAAGTTATGCAAAATTCATGAAAGACATTCTCTCCAAGAAGAGGAAATTTGGAGAGCACGAGAAAATCCAACTGACAGAAGAGTGCAGTGCCATCCTACAACGGAAGCTTCCACCAAAACAAAAAGATGGAGGGAGTTTTAAAATTCCATGCACTATTGGAAATAATTTCTTTGAAAGAGCTTTATGTGATTTGGGTTCTAGCATTAACTTACTACCTTTATATGTTGCTAAAAAGATTGGTATTGGTGAAACCCACTACTGTTTCTTTGCAGATGGCAGACAGATCAATCACATACCCAGACGGAATTATTGAAGTGTCGGCTCCGCAGATCTCACGGCCTGGTGATCCGGGCCGAGGGGATGTACGTTAACACGTGGCTTCCTGCTTTTGGATGCGGTGCGGTTGTGCGCGGGCGTGCCAGCACGGTTTACCGTGCGTCGAGATGTTGATGTGGATAGAGTGGTTAAGTGGTACGCCTGTTTGAACTCGTCTTCTAATCAAACGATTGTAGCCGAGAGAGGAACTGATCTCGGCTATCAGGTTCACGGCCTGAGCTACAAGGCCGTTTAGTGGTGGTGTTGGTGGTGGGTTTTGGGCGGTGCTCCGGCGCGCTGCTCAGGGAGCGACGGTCGTATGATATATGGGGTGAATGAGATGGTAACAGAGATGGTGCTCCGACGCCTTGAAAATCAAGGGTCGTATGATATATTGATGAATGGATTTTCCTTACAGTCTAACGCTACTCCTAGGAAAGCAAGTAAAGATATTGAAAGTACAGTACAGGAAAATATAATTTGCTCTGTGGGAGGCTTTTGTTTGGTGTTTGAACCCTTTGAATGTAGTTTGAGCCTTGTATTTATAGGAAGAGCTCCTGGAGGGGTAATCGAGGCTGAAAACCTGCATGGTGGAGCCTGATCAGAGCAAGTGGGTAGTCCAATCGACATTTGGGATCGTGAAGCATGGTGGTGTGACTCCATAAATCTTGGTAAATCTCG